GCTGTTCAAGCGCAGCCTCAGCATGGCTGAGCTGGCGGCGGCGGAGCTGGTGCGCCAGGAGGAGGTGGGGCTGGAGACGCGGGAGTCGTTGGATGGGCCGGCGCTGGCGGGGGTGGCGGCAGGGATGCGGCAGGGGAGCCGGCGCGACAGCTTCAGCGGCGGCCGCAGCGTGTAGCATACCTGGCGCAGCGCAGCCCAGCGGGTAGCTGGCGCTGGGCGGCCCAGGCGTCAAGAGTGTGTGCAGCTTGCCCCGTGTGTGCCAATTCCTTGCCACTGCCGGTGCGACTCTTCTTTCACTGTATCATCACATTCTTTTGTTTGTTCCTTGCCTCCGCTGCTTGCGCCTGCTGCTTGGCTCTGCCATCTCATCGCCTTTTTGGTTTCATGCACTGTGCCCTTAACATTTCATTCGCAGCCACCATGCATTGAGAACGCTGGCGTTGGGCAGTGGCGGAGCTGGGCATGATGGTTGCAGCAGACATGAACAGACATGAAGAGGGCAAGACGAATGGGGGGCGAGGTATAATTAGGTACGCAGAGCAGAGCAGGAGCAGAAAATCCAGCGAGAAGGGTGCGAGCATCGAAAGCTGGCCTGTTGAAGGTCAAGCGCGCTGAGCAAGCCGCGCCGGAGCGGAGCAACACGCTCGCCGCGGCGGCAAGCCCGCCTGGGCGCGGCGCCACCACACCGCTGCGGCGCGGCGCGGCGCGGTCAGTTGATGGAGCGCAGCACGCGCTGCACGGTGGCCCGCATCTCCTCTGGGCTCATCTGCGTGCTGACTATCACCTCCTGCACCACCCGTCCCGCCCGTACCGCCAGGTTGTACCCGTCAGCCACTGTCTCCTTGGTGATCCACAGCTCCAGGTCCTGCAGGAGGGAAGCAGGAGGCTGGGGCAGGAGGGTGAGGGCAGCGGGGGTCGGGCAGCGGGGCAAAGCTGGTGCCTCTGCCGTGCTGTTGGAGGAGAGAGGCTGGCTGGCTCAGCATCCAGCTTGTGCCTCAGCATCCAGCCCACCAGGGACACCACACGTGCGCGCCCCCAGCCGCCGCACCTGGCTGACGGTGCGCTTCTCCTCCACGCAGCGCCCCAGCGTGATGGATGCGATGCCCTCCTCTCGGTCCAGAGCCTCCAGGATCTCGTCCACGCCCTGGGGCACCGCCGCAGGCACAGACAGCTGCTCGTAGCTTCCAGCCTGCAGCCGGGGCCGCGGCGCGACGCGCGGCAAGCAAGCGCAGCCCACGTGAGGCGGCGCCGCACACTGCCAGGCCGCGCGCGGTGCTCGGGACCTGCTCCCGAAATGCGCTGCCCATGTCCCGGGCCGCTGCTTCTGCCGCCGCCGTGCCCAGGCCGCGGCCCACCAACCGGCTGGCTCCCCAGCGGCAGCACAGGAATGCGGTCCAGCTCCCCACCCCCCACCTGCTTGCCCAGCGGCAGCACATTGTCCAGCGTCTCCTTGAGCGGGTCCTCCTCCAGCCGCTTCAGGCTCACCACCACCTGCACGCCGCACAGCCAGCCAGCCGGCCGGCCAGGTGAAGGGGCAAGGCGGGCACGCCAGGGTGCTGCTGCACATCGAGGCCGCCGGGCACGAATGCAGGCACAGCGATAGTGCCGGCTGCCACGCCGCGGCGCCTGCCAACAGGATACAGGGCCGCCGGCCGCTGGCCCGCGCACCTTGGCCTCTGGCGCCGTCTCGCGGTACAGCACCACCACCTGGACGGGCTGCGACGGGTGCACCACCTCGCTGGCGGAGTTGAGCCAGGAGTAGGAGAGCTCGCGCATGGGCAGCACCGCCTCGGCGCGCGGGCACGGCTCGCCGTTGACTGCGGCACGGCGTCGCGCGGGCCGGCGGGTGAGTGGCGGGCAACGGCGGCCAGGCGGCGCGGCAGCGAGCGAGGCGGCGGCAGCTGGTTGTCCCATGGCGCGGCGCCGGCGCGGCACGCCGCCAGCGGGTGTCTGCCCATGCGCGCACATGGGCATGCTGGCCCCGCCCATCCACCCAGCGGCACTGGCCCGGGAGGACAAGGCCACCGCCACCACCACCACCTGCCACACCCGCGCTGCCCCCCGCACGGCGCACCCGTGTGGCACTCCACAAAGGCTCCCCAGTCCATGTTGGACCCCACCACGCCGTCGATGATGTCCCCCGGCTGCACCATGGCCGCCAGCTCATCCAGCAGCACCGCCTTCTCACTCACAATCAGCCGCTTCTCGGGGACAATCACCTGCTCCAGGCGGCACACAGAGCGCAGGGCACAAGGGCGGGGCACGTGGGCGGGGCAGGCAGGAGCAGGTGGGGCTGGGAGGCAGGGCCGCTCTCTGATGGGGCGCCAGCAGCATGGCGAGGCTGCCGGCAGGGGTGGCGCGTGGCAGGGCGGCCGCCGCGGCGCACCTGCGTCACCTTCACCCTGACCGGCGCGCCCACCAGGCTCTGGTGGCCGTTGGGCGGCGGCGGGATGCGGCTGCCGTCGGGGCGGCGCTGCTGCAGGCGGGACGGGTCCAGGAGCTTGTAGGGCAGGAAGCCAGTGAGCTTGCCCACCGGAACCAGCAGGCCTGCAAGGAGGGAGGGGCGGACAGCCAGCCAGGGTCTGCGGCGGGCGTATTTTCTGCTGGGCTTCCAGCGCCAGCACCCCATCAACACAGTGCAACACTCCGCCTGCGCCAGGCCGCGGCCGGGAGGCGGCCTCGGGGTGCGATGCATCCCCTCAAGCAGGGCAGCCACCCACCCGACTTGTTTGCGCTCTTCACCACCGTCTCGATGGTGGTGTGGTCCTTCCTCATCTGCAACACCTCACTCCACGCATCCGTCATCAGCTTGGGCTTGCGCGCCTGGGGCTGCTCGCCGGGCTGGGCGTCCTCAGGGGCCTGCACCGCTGGCGCCGCCTCTGGCGCCGGGCTCGCCTCTGCCTCGCTGGCTGCTGCGCGGCACGGCTGCAGGCTGCGGCGGGCAGTGCTGCATGGCGCCGCCGCGCGCTGCAGCACCAGCGCTTGCCGCGCTGGTACGGGGCGGCACCCCCTGGTGCATACCTGCGCAGCCAGCAGGGGCCTAGCACGCGAGTGGGCAGCAGCGGGAGCGGCGGCAGGAGCGGCGGCTGGGGTGCCACACCACAGGGCGCCCTTCCATTCGCGCCGCCTCCAGCGCCACCCGTTCCTGCAATGGCTGCCCTAATCTCCCGCCTCACCCCAGCTCTGCTGGCAGCCACACTTGCTGCGCCTGGCATGTTGGTGTGAGTTGTGGTCCGCGGAGGGGCAATGCGCCAGACCAGCTGCCTCTAGGAGACTACCAGAGCGTGCTTCCGCAGCTTCAAAACGGGCTGAGTGGCTAGGGAGGGTGTGGGGCAGGGGTGGTGGGGCGGGGGTGTCGCGGGCGCCCCGGAAGACTCACACATGCAATCGCTCAGTCCTCCAACAAGTGTGTATGCTGTGGGAGGGACGGATGCATGCGCAATTGCTCTTTCCTGTGACCCTGCTGCGGTCATCCTGCTGCGCGGGTGTGCCGCTGCAGCTGGCGTGGGCGGCTCCAGATTGCGCTGCAGCCCTGTTTGCACACTGCTGGTATCGTTGGACTGTCAGTGGACCAGGATGGCGGCAGCATCGTGCACCGTGCGCCCGGCGCCCTCCTCGGCTGCGGTTGGCAGCCCGGCCGCCCGCCGGGTGGCGGCCCTCAGCAGGCCCACCGCAGCAGGTGGGCCCGGCAGCGGCCGCAATGCGTGCCTCCGCCACAGGCCGATCATCCCCCACTGGTCGCCCACTGGTTGAAACTGGCGCTCCCGCTGCTGCAGTGCGCGCCAACCAGCGCTCCCTGGTTGCCAAGGCCCAGAAGCGTGAGATGATGATGTGGGAGGCGCTCCGGGAGGGGCTGGACGAGGAGATGGAGAAGGACCCCACCGTCTGCCTGATGGGTGCGCCCTGCTGCCGCCCCGCAGCCGCAGCGCTGGCTTGCAGCTTGCTGCCATGCCTGCTCTGCAGCCGGACGCAGCAGCATGCTTTAGTGGGGAGCGTGGTGCTGTTGGATGCCGAGCCGCCTTGCGGGGGCGGCAGAAACTGGGCGGCAGGCCCGGCACCCAACGGCTGAGGAGCAGCAAAGCAGCGGGTGCAGCAGCATGTGTCACGCGTGTCTGCTGGCTGCTCTGTTGATGTTGCTGCGTCAAGCAGCTTGCCGTTGCCCTGTTTGCGCCGCCCCTGCCACGTGCGCTGCTTTGCCCTCCTTGGCTGCTCTCCTCGCGCCTTTGCCTCACCACTTCCCCCCAACCACCGCCGCCGCATGCGCCCGCAGGCGAGGATGTGGGCCACTACGGCGGCTCCTACAAGGTGTCGTACGGGCTGTACAAGAAGTACGGCGACATGCGGCTGCTGGACACGCCCATCTGCGAGAACGGCTTCATGGGCATGGGGGTGGGCGCCGCCATGACGGGCCTGCGCCCCATCGTGGAGGGCATGAACATGGGCTTCCTGCTGCTGGCCTTCAACCAGATCTCCAACAACTGCGGCATGCTGCACTACACCTCCGGGGGGCAGTTCAAGGTGCCCATGGTCATCCGCGGGCCGGGAGGCGTGGGGCGCCAGCTGGGCGCGGAGCACAGCCAGCGCCTCGAGTCCTACTTCCAGTCCATCCCGGGTGGGTGGGTGGGCAGAGGGGGGAGGGAAGCTGGTGCGGTTGGGTGGGGCGCTCGTCATGCTTGGGATGCTAGGGCGTAGGGTGTGGCGCCCTTGGGCCATCGGGCTGGCTGGCAGGCTGGTGGGCGGGCGGGGGCCGGGGTGGGGCTGCAGCCAAGCCAGCCTGGGACGCATGCACGGCTATCCCCACACCCATTCACCCTCCTTGGCCGATGCCTTACACCTCTTGCCTGCCCTGCCCGCCTGTGTTGCCCCTCCCCCTTCTCTGTCCCAGGCGTGCAGCTGGTGGCGTGCTCCACGGTGGCCAACTCCAAGGCTCTGCTGAAGAGCGCCATCCGCAGCGACAACCCCATCATCTTCTTCGAGCACGTACTGCTGTACAACGTCAAGGGTGCGACCCCTGGGGCAGCCTCCTTGGGCCTCCTTGCGCCCTTGTGTGTGCGCAGGTGGCCAGATGGCTGCTGCCGCGGTTTGCGCTCACCTGTTGCGGAGCGGGCGGCGGGCGCATGGCTGTGCTATCCCGCCTGCTCCTCCTACCCGCCTTGCCGCTGACGGTGCTTTCCGTGCCCGCACTGCCGCGCTGCCCACGCAGGCGAGGTGCACCCGGGCGACTACTGCCAGTGCCTGGAGCGTGCGGAGATGGTGCGCGAGGGTACCGACGTCTCCATCTTCTGCTACAGCCGGATGCGCTACGTCGTGATGCAGGCGGTGGCGGAGCTGGAGAAGCAGGGCTACAACCCAGAGGTGGGTGGGGCGGGGGCAGGGGTTGGGGTTGCTGCTGGGGGAGGAGGCTGGCAGCTGTGTGCATGCGCTTGTTGGGAATGCTCGCTGCTGCTCTCCCGTGGTGTGGTTTGGTGCCGTGTGTTGTGGTGTGGTGCAGCGAGTCGTGGAGGCCGGGGGGGCTGCATCGCCGCTGCGCTCATGTATCTTGCGCTCCCCTTATGTGCGCTCACACGCACCTCGACTGGCCCCGTGCCCCCCCTCCCTCCCCCTGCAGGTGATTGACCTCATCTCCCTCAAGCCCTTTGACATGGAGACCATCTCCAAGTCCATCAAGAAGACGCGCAAGGTGTGGTTAAGGGGTGGCAGCTGGACAGAGGCCAGCCAGCCCCGCTCATCTAGCGCGGGCGGCTGGCTGCCCGTGCCCCTGCTGCCTCCTCGCGCGCCTCTGCTATTCCCCGCTCCTGTGGCCGAACTCGCATGCTGCCCAACCCCCACCCGGCCGCGGCGCAGGCCATCATCGTGGAGGAGTGCATGAAGACGGGCGGCATCGGCGCCTCGCTGTCCGCCGTCATCCACGAGTCGCTGTTCAACGAGCTGGACCACGAGGTGGGGGGGGTGCAGGCGCTTGGCATGTTGCTGTCCAAGGGCTGTTGCATATTTGTTTTCTGTTGCCGATTCACCCGCTGCTATGCTTGAGCATGGCGCCTTGCTCCTCACCGCCCCGCGGCCCGCCTGCCTCCCATGTGCACATGCGCAGGTGCTGCGCCTGTCCTCCCAGGACGTGCCCACCTCGTATGCTTATGAGCTGGAGGCGGCCACCATTGTGCAGCCGGAGAAGGTGGTGGAGGCGGTCCACAAGGTGTGCGGCACCCGCGTGGCCGCATGAGGCGGCTCAAGCCTGGTTTGCTCCACCCTCGTGTCTGTAGCCTGCGCCTTGGGCAACAACAGTTCATAGGGGTGGGCGTGGGCGTGTTGCACACGCCTCCGGCCTTGCCAGCTGATCTGAGGCACAGTTGCCGCTATGTTTCGGTGCTCCTATGGATTCCACATGTGTGCCTGGTTTGGTTAGGGCTGACCAAACCAAGCCCTTGCACATTTGCCTGCCACATAGCATTCGGTTGCTGCCACATAGCATTCGGCTGCTGGTAGCGGTGCATGCATACAGCTAGCCGAAGTGGGTGCGCCCGCAGCTGTCGTCCCTCTTGACCGGCGCCCTGACTGTACTCCTACACTGTGTGTATTTTTTTGCCTGATCCCACTGCTTTCATTTGCCATCAGCACCCCCAGTTGCTGCTCCGGAACATCAATGTTGTTGTAACCCGCCTGCAACACTCATTTTTATAGTAGAAGTAAGGGCTGGTGGGGTTGACTAGCCACAAAAGCGCAGGCAGAATGAGAGATGGGAGAATAGCATGCCGCAAGCATCATGCTCTCCCGCAATATTGACAGGTTTTAGCCACAACCATCCCACCCCTTTTGGGGTGGGGGCCTAGCGGTGGCGGCCACCGAGGCCTGCCCCTGAACTTTTCATCCTCTTGGCGCCAACAAGGTAGACAAACACCTCCTACCTGCCTGCTTGGGTGGGGCAAGATTGAGACTGAGATTACAGACACAAGTGGGAACGGGGGTGTGGCAGATCAATATGATGGGTTCGAACCCGCTACCCTGCCGGCATGCACAAGCGAGGGGGCAATTCGGAAGCCGGTGGTATCTTACGCTGCCGTCCACCGCTCGGATGCCCGTGAGGGAAAAGTCGCAGTTACGTGTCGGGATTTGAACTCGCGCGAGCCATTTGGGATCATCGCTCGTTATTGAACGTCGCGGCAGGCACGACGGCGGCAACCCGACTTTGATTGCCTGCTGCGAATGGGGCCCATGATCCTTGGAGTCCGGGTCGATGACAAAAAAAGTAGGCGGATAGACCCCACTGTGTTACAGTCAATAGTAAGAAATACCGAACACCCAGGCACTATCATCTGGCCACCACACCTCGCTTGAGCTCCGGTCTGTCTGTCTGTCTGTCTGTCTGTCTGTCTGTCTGTCTGTCTGTCTGTCTGTCTGTCTGTCTGTCTGTCTGTCTGTTAAGACTTCTTGCAGCATGCAACCACTAGGGTTGCCAGCTCAGTGCCGCTCTGCCGGAAGTGTAGTGCGCCAGGAGTGTAGGAGCACTACCCGCAACGGGTAGGGGCAACAACGCAAGAGCAACAGGTTGCAAGCACAACACGTGTCGTATCCTGTCAGCACGACGATGAGTCACTGCAAAATGCGAGAGAGACAACCGGCGGAGCGCAGGGTTGCCAGGAGCCGATTGGGCACAACGGGCGGTAGGGAATGCGGAGGGTGCCTGGAAGCCAGCCCAATATACCTGTGTTACAGTCACCCCGCTGTGATAGGCCGCGTGAGCAAACCTTGGGAGGGGGCACACGTGGTCAAGGGGCATCAAGAGAGGGGGTGGACCATGGAGCACCCTCTCCATGGCTCCCGCCACCCTCCCCCCAGCTGAGCGTCCCAGGGTCATCCCACCCTGGGCCCGCTCCCCGTCCTGCCGGACACGCAACCCCCACAACGTGGTGGGGGACGTGGGGATCCTTAGCAGCTTGGGCCTGCGAGGCCGACGGTGCCGATGTTGCTTGTGTGTGGGCTTACAGTCTGGTTTCAGCAAGAACAAGCTTGCAGCACAGACTTTGTTGTTCGAGCAAGGAGGGATGAAGCAGTAGAACAACAGGCAGGACAGGCCAACTGACAAGTCACCGAGCGTTTAGTGTGTGAGCGGGCAGACAGTACTGCATG